CCGCTAGGTCAGGCGTGGTATTGGACTAGGTGAAGACATTGGTTCATATAAACATCGATTTTGCTAGATAGAGCATATTAGCTCAAGAGTAAGCTCCTCAACATATCCACGATCGGGAATGTCCCAAGGAATGGAGGAGTGTGTTGCAGCACACAACGACATAGATATAAGGGTGGCCCGCTTGTGTGAGTCTGTACGTCTAGTGAAACGATTTGCAAACGTCACAGGAATCCATCCCGTTGGGTGATAGTCAATATGCGTCCGTGCTGTCGCCTCACCATGACTGATTTGAGTTTTACAATGTGTGCATACATATTTTCCGAGTTCATCCTTGATCGATAACTTTTTTGCTGAATTTCGCTTCTGCTTCTGGTATCTGCATATGCACGGAAACACACTGGGACAGTAACTATTTGCAATCGAAGCTTGTTTTGGTTCGTAGATTTTGCAATTGATATATATTTTCTAATGTACTACTTCCTATAGATTTCTTTTTCCAATCGGCAAAGGTTCGATCATTTTTATTCCATGTAGGATGTAAGATGGCAACATTAACATTATTTGCGTGTTTTATGAGCTTCTTACGGGTCCTTTTAGCGAGACCGCTGTGCGGCGACACATTAGCCATATTACTTAATTAATGGTTACCGCGGTAAAATAAAACGGGCATTGAATAATGACACTTTTATGGACATGCAACATCAGCGAGGATTAAGTGCGTGATATCAATATTTTAATACTAAGCACAATCTAAATAAAAAGTGATGATCCCAGCGGAAGTTAACTATCAGGTAGTTTGTACAGCTTGGCAGGAATAGGTAGAGCCTTATTACATTTCTACAGTGCAGAATGACGTACCAAGTAGCGTGGAAATCCACAAGAACGGGAACAGAGTTCTTCAACACCCTCTTTTGGAAATCAGCTTCATCTTGTATGTTCGTTATACCGCACTCCGATATTTTTTCACTGAGATAACGCAACTGAGCGGCGAGAAAGGTCATGTTTAACTAGGGAGCAAACTAACTTGTGAGAGTCTCAGTGGGGTGTGTACGAACCTAAAGATAATATTATCATCTATTTCGAAACGAACTCAACTTACCTGAGTGTGGACGGCCTGATTAACATTTCTGAAAGTGTAAAATTATGACAATGAAAGTGTGCGTGGTAAGAAGGAATAACGAGAACAAAAGAACGGAATCAAATTGTTTATCATTCTGAAGGTTGTACATCACGAAAACCCAAACGCAGTCTATTTTGCTGCTTGGTTATTGTCCCGGATACATCAATATAACGTTCCACACAATTCACCAAACAGGTCTGCGTCTTCGC